CCCCCCCTCTCCCCCCTCTCCCCCTCCCTCTCAGTCATATGGTCTTCGCTTGCTGACTTCATCTCCCCCAACGCACACATAGGCTTCTTGGATGTAACACCCATCGCTGCACGCGCCCTTGCCACCCTGGTCCCTGTGCACCGTGCCACCTGCAGCCGGGCACGGTCCTGTCCTGCCCCTGTGGCAAGATGGACCTGGCTCTGTGGCAGGGAACCGACGGCAAGGCGGAGCGACTGACTTGCAGCGACCCGGTGCCCACCTGCTCCAATATCTGTGGTCGACCCCTGCATTCGATGCGGCTGCCCAGCACGGCCGCCTTGCGAGGCGCGACCGGCAAGTCCGGTGCTTCGGCCGATGGGGCCACTCACCACACCTGCCAGCAGCCCTGCCACGTGGGCCCCTGCCCGGCCTCCGATGAGGCCCTGGCCCTGAGTCTGGCTCGCGCCATCGGCGAGCACCACAGCCATGATGCCGGCAGCAGCATGGCCGAGGCCCCTGGCGAGGAGATTTCCACCGTGGCTCTCGGGCTTCTGCTGTTGCCGCCGGGCGACGATCGCCGGCCCTCTCAATGCACCCGGCCGATTCGCATTGTTTGTCGTTGCGGCAACAGCCAAACGGACCTCCCCTGTACGCAACTTCGCGCGGATCCCCTGCTGTCGGCCCTGTCATCGACCGATCGTGCCCTCCTGGCAGGCCACAATCCCGAGGCCTTCTCGCTGGAAGCCCCGGCCGCGGCGGCCACCTGTCAGCTGGTTTGCGGTCGGCAGTTGTCCTGTGGCCGGCATGTGTGCCGCCAGGCATGCTGCCCCTCCCGCGGGACCACGTCCCTCGCCGCGGCCGATGCCATCGCCGCCCAGACTGGCCTGGCCACGGCGTCACACACCTGCATGGAGGTGTGCGGGCGCCTGCTCAAGTGTGGCCATCATCACTGTTCGGAGCTTTGCCACCGTGGCGTCTGTCCCCCATGCACGGACTTCATCCACACGCCACTTGCCTGCGAGTGTGGCAGTACCATCCTCCGGCCGCCGCTCCGGTGTGGCGTCCGCCTGCACGCCTGCAGTCAAATCTGCTCGGCATCGCGAGCCTGCCCGCACCCGGTGGAGCATCTGTGCCATCGGATCCTGAGCGGGGTGCCGAGCCTGGCCGAGCAGCTGGCCGCCCTCGAGGCGCCTGGCGCCCTTTCCCAGGGCCCGGAGGCCCTTGCCGGCGCATTTGCCCAGCTACTGGCCCTGGCAAGCCAGCAGGCCACCCTGTCCGTGTCGTCGGCCACCCTGCGCCGTGGCGACCGCGTGTCCCACAGTACCCCCTATCCCCCGGCGGCCAGCTGTCCCCCCTGCTTGTCGCGCGTGACCATGCACTGTCCCTGTCCCCGGCACCAGGCGGTGACGCTGCCCTGCTGGCAGGCGCAGGTGGCCCGCGTGGCGGCGGCCCTCCTGGCTCGCGAGGTGACCCTGGCCGCCGATGGTGCGGACGGCCCGCGGCTCACCCTGCTGGAGGATGACCCTGCGCTGGCGACGGCCGCCACCGCGGCGGCTGTCACGACGCTCGGCTCGCCGGGGTCGCTGTCCCAGGCCCTGGCCACGCCGGCTCGGCCGACGGTCGAATCCGTGTGGGGCCGCAATCGTGCTGCGCCGGCCGCCAGTAGCAAGGCCTCGGAGTCTGAGCGTGCGTCCGCCACGGCCACGGCCGCCTCCGCGGCTGCTGATGCTGCCCAGGATGCCCCGGTCGACCGGTCATACATGCAGCTGAGTCGGGCCATCCTCCTTCCCCAGCCGCCTGCTTCGTTGCGCGTCAGCTGCGGGCAGCTGTGCGGCCGGGCACTAGCTTGCGGGCATCCCTGCGGGCGTCCCTGCCATCTTGGCCCATGCCAAGGTCTGGACACCCTGGATCGACAGGTGGTTCGCATGCTGGAGCGCCTACAGCACCAGCTGGCCGTCAGCGCTTCCCGGGCCTCTGCCGGGGCCGGTCGTTTCGGGTCTCCTTCCCCCGAGATGGCTCCCCTCGCTGGTGGCGAAGCCGGCGACGGCAATGCCGACCATGAGGATGCCGGGTCGCCCGACGCTGCGGGTCCCATGACTTCCTCTGGCGCCGCCGCCGCCGCCGCCGCCGCCGCCGCCGCCGCCGCCGCCGCCACCACCAGTGGCGGGGTTCCCCGTTCGATCACCGGCGCCGGTGCTAGCACCACGGGCACCAGCGCTCAGGCGACGGGCGATCCGGACCTCCTGCGCTTCCAGGCGCTGGTTGCCGACCCCGCGGCGGCCGGGCGCCTGACTCCCTGCCAGCATCCGTGTGGCCGGCGCCGGGGGTGCGGCCACGCGTGCCAGCTTCCCTGCCATGCCGGGACCCAGGCCGATTGCGAGGAGGCCGGGCCCTGCTCGACGGCCACACGGGCGGCCTGCCCCTGTGGCTTGCGGGTGGTGTCCTTGCGCTGCCGTGGGAGCAGGACCCCCCCGGCCGAGCCGCCTCGCTGCGATGCCCACTGTTCGGGTGCCATGTCCTGGCGCATGGGCAATGCGGCGGGCGCCAGCCCCGCGGGCACGGTGGCCACGGCTGGCGCCATGGCGGCCTCGGCCGCGGCCGGCGCCATCGGCCCGGTCCGTTCGACCACCGACATCCAAGCCCAGTCCGAGCGGCTGGCCGGGCTGCTGGAGCGCCACGCGCACTGGCACCTGGCCCTGGCCGAGGGGGTCCGGCTGTTCCGGTTTGTCCTCCGGTCGCCGGTGGTGTCACGCATCCTGCGCGGCTTGGAGGACTCGCTGTTGGCCTTCGCCTCCAGCCCCTACGAGCAGACCCTCAATTTGCCCCCCCTGCCGAAGAACCTCCGGCACCTGTGCTACATCCTGATCGAGGCCTTCCAGCCGGCGCGTTTCCTGTCGGCCCGGTCGGTGGGCCGGCCGCCGCACCGGTATGTCGTGGTCACGCGTGTGGTGTCCGGGGCCGTTCTCCAGGCGCCACCGACGCGCCTGTCTTCCTTCTTCCTGAGCGGCGATTGGGCCGCCGCCCTGGGCCTGACGCCGCTGGACCAGCAGGACCTCCTGACCCAGCCCGCCGGCCGGGGCGAGGAGGAGGAGGACTTCCAGTTTGACCCGGCCGCGCCGGATAGCCTGGCCGCCGCGCAGGCCGCCTCGCACCAGCACCAGTCGGCCGCCGCCCGGGCGGCATCCGGCCCGGCGCAAACGGCTCGCTCTCGCCTGTCTCACACGGGCGCCAGCGGGATTGGCACTGTGGTGCCCTTCTGCCGGGTGCTGCTGGTGGCCGATGTCCCTGGTGCCGGGCAGGTGGACGCCGCTGATGGGGCTGGCGCCGCGGTTGCCGCCGCGGCCGGCGGCCAGGCGGAGAGCCGGCGCTTCGAGGCGGCCACCGACAATCGGATCAATTGCCTGCATCTGTCCGGGCCGGAGCTGGTCCGCGTGTCGGGGGCATTGGCTCTCTTTGCCCGGTCTTGCAGTCCCTCCTTCGACATGATCCCCCAGGCGGATGGGTCGTTGGCCCTGCTGCCGGACCAGTGCAGTGTCCTGGTCCTGGGGGTGGGTAGTGGCTTTACCGAAACCCCGGAGGAGTATCTGCGGGTGTTGCATGCCCTGAAGGAGGCCCTGGTCAGCCTATGCAGTTCCTTCGAGCACCTGTACCACAGCCACCAGCAGCGCGCCACCGCCGGGCCCCCGGAGCTGGACGCCTCACTTACCGACAGCAAGGCCTTCCTGGCTTCGGCCGAGACCGATGCCCAGCTGGGGGCCGAGCTGGCCCAGGCCTTCACCTCGACCATCGACATCCGGACCTTCCTCCGGCAGTTGAAGCTCGAGGCTGCCTGGCTCCTGCCGAACATGACCCTGGAGACGCCCTTTGTCACGGTGCGGCGCATGGTCCCGGGGGGGAGCTCCTCTTCCGGGGCCCTGGCCGGGCCTCCGCGGCTGATCCCGGCCCCGGCTCCGGCCGCTGCTTCCCTGTTGCCGGTCGTGCCGAATGCCTTCTCCCTGCTGTCTTCCTCGCTGGCTGGCGGCCCGTCATCATCGGCTTGGGGTGATGATGATCACCCGGCGCCGGCGACCGACGGCACTCCCCCCTCCTCGGCCAGCGGTCCTGCCGCGGGGGCCATGGCCACCAGTGACACTGCTGGGGCCGTTGCTGCTCCTGCTGCCGGTGGCGATGCCAGTGGCGGCGCTTCTGCGGCCGGCGCCCCGACCATCACCGCCCGGGAGGCCGGACGCGCCGGCGTCTCGAATGCCTGGTCCGACGAGAGCCTGGCCCCGGTCACGGTCCCCACCATTGGCCTTTCGGTGGCCAGCCGGCCGGCCGGCGAGGGAGATGCCCCTCCGGTCCTGACCCCGGTCTCCGTCTCTCCTCCCCGTGTGCCTGCCATCCCTCCCATGCCCATGCCGGCCGAGGTGGATGACTGGGACGTCTAGATGTATCGCCCGTTTTTCCCGTGCGCCGACTGCCTTTGCGCTGGCCCCGTGTCAGCGCGTGCTCTCCCTCCGCGTTCAGGAGTCCTGGGCTTCCCCCTCCCCCCCCCCTTCCTCGTTCTCTCTCTCCCTTCCTGTTTCCCCTTTTTTTTCGGCCTACAACACAATACACACCATGTCATGACCCGCTTGGGCCTTTCCTTTCCCCCTCCTCCAGCGGGGCGGGGGGACAAAAACCGGCAGGGGGCGACACACACACACACACACACACACACACACACACACGCCCGCCGGCTGGCGTGCCAGGGGCTTCTCCGGTCGATCCGAATCTTCTTGGCCGGCTATTCTGATATACCAGAAGCACATCACATGTTCCCCGGGCACGATGGAAGCATGGTCGATCCCTGAGGCCTTGTCGCGGGTGTTCTGCCTTCCTGCGGGAGGGGGATGAGGGGGGCGGGCGGGCACGCGGCCGCCGGCCTCGCCGCTCTCTGGCTGGGGCCGTTTCCGCAGACGGGGGGCTCATTCGCGGGTCGTCTGCCCCGCGGCCAGAGCCCACCCCCAGCCAGCATGGCAAGATCGCCGCGCCTTTTTTCAGTGAGATCCCGAAGAAGGGCACGTCTGACTCCGGCCACAGTAGAACTCCCTCCTCGTATCTCTCTCTCTCTCTCTCTCTCTCTCTCTCTCCCCCTTTCCTCCCCCGCTTCTGTGTTCCCCTCCCCCGGTTTGCCCTCTTGCCGTGCTCCTCCCCTTTCTCCCTCCACCATGCGTCTGCTCGCCCACAACCTGATGTGCTCCCACGTGCGTGGCGTCAAGAACGGCTACCCGCTCGGGCTTGCCGCCACCGAGGTGCGCTTCCTTGACGAAGTGGCCGAGAAGGCCATCGCCGAGCAGATGGCCGAGGACTCGGACGCCAGTGATGGCGAGTACGGCCTGCCGGAGTACAATGACGATGTCATGGCCAACATCTGGCCCAAGGTCGTCTACTCGGTCCTGCACCAGGCTGCCTCTGCTGTGCGTGGGACTTCCCTCGTTGTTTTCCTCCCGTTACCCTGGTTTTCTCTTCCTTCCTCTCTCTCTCTCTCTCTCTCTCCCTCTCGAGCCGCCGGCCCCCCCTGTTTTTTTCCCGCCCCTTCCCATTGACGTGCGAGACCTCCCCCTCGCCCTCCCTCACCCCCTGGTGGCGTGTGCACCACCCGCAGCTTGGCCACGCTGAGGGCCTTCCCCCCCCGAAGGTCGCCGTGAGCCCCTCGATGGGCGTCGATGCGGCCACCGTGGCTTCCAGCTCGAACCCCGATCTGGCTTCCCTCACCGAGCAGGAGCGCAAGACCATTTACCGTATCCTCTTCTATGTGCGTCGCGGTGTTCGGTGTTTTTTTTTTCCCCCCTTGTCGGGGGCCCTGTTCAGGCCCGGCCCCTGTCCTCTCGCACGGATTTCCCCCTTGGCAATTGACACTTGATGATGCGCTTTCCTCGCCTCGCCCCCTTGATCTCGGGCTTCGAAAAATTAGCTCGACGTTGTCGAGGGGTCTCTCACCTGCCCGGAGTCTGGCCGTGTCTTCCCGATTGTCAAGTCCATCCCCAACATGCTCCTCGATGAGGATGAGGTCTAGGGGCCGTTCATGTGCCCGCCTCCCGCCCTCGGTCCTTTGCTCGGTGGCTGGACGCCGGGTGCTGGGACAGGGGGACGCCCGTCAGGAGGGTCTCTCCCTTCTTCTTTTCCTTCGCTCTCTCTCTCTCTCTCTCTCTCTCTCTCTCTTCATGGGTCCTTTTGCACATCCAATAAACAACTATACACACGCTGCACCGTAATTCCGGCTGTTGGTGCTCCCTTCTTTGGGCAAATGGTGGCGACGGCTAAGCTTGCTGGTGTGTTTGAGGACGCACACCTCCTTTCCCCATCGATGTGGAGGGCCTGTGGATGTGTGTGCAAGGGGGGGGGGGGGACAATGCGCCAAGACAACCTCCCAAAAGGTGCACAGGAGAATGAACATGTACGAAAAGACGCGCCTCGGACAGAACAGACGATCGGCCAAGCGTTGGCATCCGCTCGGGGCCGGCGATCCGCCCTGACACCTTCATCACTTTCGCTCCACACCGGCGGCCGATCCCCTTTGTCTCTTGGGCAAACGTGAAGGACCGACCGAGAGAGCGAGGCGGAGAGCGACGCGGAGAGCGAGGCGGAGGGAGAGAGCGAGAGAGAGAGAGAGGGAGCCTCATGGCCTGGTCCGGCTCCTGGATTGGCCTGGCACGCCCTTTCCCCGGGGGGGGGGGGGGGAGATGCAAGACTCCGGCTCCAGCGCCCTCGGCCGGCGGGATTGATTTGCCCCCAGCCCGGGGCGCCTGCACGAGGATGCCCCTTCTTCCTCCCCTCTTGGCCGTCCCCCCCCCCCCCCCCCCCCCCCCCCCCCCCTCCCTTTGGTCCTCCTCCACGCCACCGCCAGTATCGCTTCTCCGTTCCTCGCTGTTGGAAGGATGGCCTCCCGGGGCAACCACACCTTCTCCTCCTTCCAGCTGTCAGTTGGCCGGTCCCTCCTGGACGGCCAGCTAACCGGCGACACGAAGTCCCTCACGAGCATCGAATCTTACAGCAGCGTCGATAGTCCGACATTGCACCTGTTCGAGTGTGCGTCTCCTCATTTCTCCTTCCCCCTCGCGAGTAATCCGCACCCCGCTCCCTTCTCCCCTCCTAATCCCGTACCTCCCCCCCCCCCCCCTCCCCAGTCAATCAGATCCCGCAAACCGTGGATGCAACCCAAGCTGGCCGGCTGCGTCCCGCCACCGGTGACAGCTCCGACTGGCACCTGCAGTTTCCGTCGACCCTTCGCGGCACTGCCCCGGATGAGGTGCGTCCGCGGTGTCTTTGCAAGGCTGTTTTTCCTCCTTTTCCTTCCCCTGCTCCGTGCCCTCACACTGCTTCCCCCCTCATGATGCCCTCGGGGACAGCAGGCTCATCAAAAAAACCACCTCTTTGATGGCCCCCAATGCCCCCCGGCCCCGGATGACCCGCACGGCGGCGGTGGGCCGCGCTACGAGTGCCTCTTCGTCTACGACGAAAAGACCCAGGTAGGCTCCGGGTCCGGGGCTCTGTCTTGCACTCGGCCTTTCGCGTGACTTACTGACCGCGTCCGCTGTTCATGTGCCCCCCCCCTCCCCCTGTCCATTCGTAGTCCCTGGTGCTGGAGCGCATTGGCTCCCGCTTCCGAATGACGTCCTCCCGGCAGGGGCCCTTCAGCAGCTTGCCTGCCCAGGGTCTGGCCAAGCAGCCGGCGTCCCGGCGTTCGACTCAAGCCTCGCTGTCTTCTCAGCAAGCTTCCCAAGGCCGGCGCTCCTCCTCGGCGGCTGGGGCCTTCTCCAGTGACGATGATGATGCCGGCCCGGGAGCCGGTGCCTTTTCCTCGTGCACCGATGACGATGACGAGGAAGCCGGCCGCTCGCAAGCTGGCCACGCCCCGGCCCCGGCTCCGACCTCATCCCCAAGCGTGATCGATGGCAAGCGCCCGCCAGCCAGCGACCGGGGGAGACCTCCGGCGGAGAAGCGCTCGCGCTTCTCACAAACGTCCCCGCATGTTGCCTCCTCCACCACGCCCCCGATGCGGCCGGTCGCCTCGCCCGCCGTTGCCTCCACTCGGGCAGAGGCGGAGCCCACCTCGCCGGCGGCCCCGGCGGTGGGGTTCTCCCCGGACTCCGATGACTGGCTCTCCTCCTCGCCGTCGCCATCGCCGTCATCCGCCCGATCGCCCGCTGGCCGAGGGATGAGCCCCGTCCGTGCCAGCCCGGCCGGCGCCAGTCTGAACTCCGGCCCGAATGCCGGCCCCAATCCCGGTCCACTCTCCATCGCTGTCGGTAGTGCCAGCGGCTCGGCTCCTCATGCGCCGTCCGAAGCGCAGCACCGCCCGCAGTCTCAGACTCCCGCGCTGTCTGCCAGTGTCCAAGGGTCAGTGGCGCCTGTGGCTGCGCCCCCTCGGCCGACCTTGACGGCTTCTCCGTGGGCCCAGTCGGTCGGTGGTGGTGGTGGTGGTGGTGGTGCTCGGGGACCGGTTGGTGGGGTCGGGGCTGGTGGAGCCGGCGGGCCCGGATCCAGCGGCACCACAACCCCCACCACGCCCGGTTGCCTGACCCCGGCGGAGTTCGGCAGCAGCGGGGGGAGCGGATCCGACTCGGGCCGTATGTCCGGCCGCCGGGCTCCTGCCCGGACAGTCCCCCGGTCCATCGGGTCCACCTCCTCCTTTTACAGTCATGTCAAGGGTGCGCCACCTTCTCCCATCCATGTCGATCCTCGCGCTTTCCCCCCATCCGTCTGACCAAATTGCCCGATTGCGCGTGTACGTCTGTGCGCGCGTGCGTGCGTGCGTGCGCGTGCGTGTGTCCATGTGCTGGCACTTGTGCGCGATTCCCGATCGGGGGGTGACGCTCGCCCGTCTTCGTGTAGTGGCCAGTGAGCTTAGCACTTCATCGCCGCCGAGTGGCGTCGCGCGGAATGCCCGGCCCGGCGCACGCCGAACTGCCGCTCCCGGCTCCGGGCAGGCCAGCCCATCGGATGATGGCTCCGATGACGACTCGGATGACGACGACTCGGACTCCGACGATTCGGATGACCTGAGCTCCGACTCCGAATGAAAGGGTGTTGTCTATTTTTGTCTGGAAGCCGCGGGCAACGGCCAGGATGAAACTAAAGATACAATGGGCACACACACGTGTGCGAAGTACACACGCGTGCACCAATACACAAGCGCACACAAGCGTGTGCATGGCCGAATCCCCCCCCCTGTGGAGTGAGAGAGCCAACATAAAGGGAGAGCCTTTTACAGCCGGAGGCGGGGGTGAAGAGAGAGAGAGAGGGAGAGAGGGAGGGACGAGGCGACAATGTGCGTGGGAGGTTTCTAAGAAAGGGCACAATCTCGGGATGGTCAGAGTTGCTGTTCAGAAAGGGAGGCTCACGCATACATGCGTGTGCGGGGAAACACAAGAGGCAGCAGGAGAGGATGGCATCACGCACAGAGCGAAGGCAAGGACAGGGAGCCGGCCTTGGGAAGCTCGAGCTGGGCCTTGGCAGCATTGGAAAGGGAGCCCGGAGCCGGCTTGTCCTTGGCCACATTCTTCAGCAAATCCAGGAAGGAGTCCTTCGACAGCTTGGTGACTGTGGACCCGGCGGGCGACGAGGCGAGGGGGAGGGACAGCGCAATGGAAGAGCAAAGGGTGGGTGAGGCTTGGTTCTCCTGCGCCGGGCGAAGAGAGGAGGCGGGGGAGAAAGGCAATGGCAAGCCCTGGGAGCACCGTGAAAGCCGACCACCGCCCAAGAAGCCGACGTACCCTTCTCCTTCTCGGTGGAGGTCTTGACGGACTCGACGGTCTCCTCGACCTGGGCCTTGTGCTTGGAGATGGCATTGAAAAGATGGACCGCTGAAGGAGCAAGGGGGCGAAAAAAGCAAGCCGCCCCCAACAACAAATGAGTGCATCCATGGTTGCAAGGGGAAGGGAAGAAGGAGGACCGAGTCAGCGGAGGGTCTCACAGGCATGTCCACCAGGAGAGAAGGCAAAGCCCCGGAAAAGGCGCCACAAGGGCCACGCACCGCCCTTGGTGGCCACGCGACGGAGCTGACGCTCATAGGGGATGTCCCACTGGGTGGCCAGAGCCGCAGACCGGCTGGAGGCGCTGCCATAGCGAGGGGGCGGGACATGGCCACGACGACGCTCGGCCCGACGCTCGGCACGCTTCTTCAGAAGGGCCCGACGCTCGGCGCGCTCCTTCTCGATGGCCTTGTCCAGCTGGCGAGACTGCGAAAGGACAGGGGTCTGGGGGTTTCACAAACAGGTCAGACAATGGAAGGGGGGGGGGGGCGGGGACAGCGTCTTGGTGCAGTCATATGTATGTATAGCCCCATATATGCGGCTGAACGCGTACCGCAGAGACTGAGCGCGTCTTCGTGCCCAGGATGTTGGACACAGCCTGGGAGAAGGCCTCAAGATCTTTCGGGTGGTGATCAGGGAGGAGGGGGGGGGGGGAGCGCGGGGGAGGGCGGAGCACAGAGTCCCGGAAGCGAGAGAGCGGTCAGAGGGGCCGATCAGGGCACCAGCGAGGCTGGGAGGCAGGGAAAGCGGACGCACTGGAGGATTGGGGTTTGCCCTTGGTCATCTCGTTCTCTGGTCGTCTCACGAGCCGGCGGTGGGAGGTGGTGGGGCGGGATCTGTCGGATGGGGGG